GTGTTTGAATGAATGTCAAGTTTTCCCGTAATGCACTGCAGATAAAGCAAAAACAAATGACTTGTTGGTTAGACAATTTGTATTTTTAAATTTAAAATTGTATTCTTGTTTCCAAGGTTTAACCTTGATGCTCAGGGCGAGCATGATGATGATGCATTATGGGAAGCCCTGGAGATTGCGCAACTGAAAGATGTGGTGTCTGAGCTCGACCTCAAACTGGGTAAGATTGACTTGATTTTAATTTCACTTCTTGAATTCCCCTCTTTTTTTTTCGGAGCTTTTTTTACTGGAAATAATTGAATGCTGATTCCCTCAGCTGGGTCTCTACCCTCATGGTACTCATTTATACTCCTGGGTAAAGAAAGGCAATTGTAATAAAGTGTCTTGCCCAAGAACACAAGTACTAAGCTCACCATCATCCTAATCTCTCCTGAATTCCTTTCTTCCCAGATTGACCAATGGTCCTTGACTAAACTTGCTCCATTGGGACTCTAGCCCATCCGTGGTATTCAATGTGAACAACACTTTTGGGTTGTTTCCTTTTTTCCCTAGATGCCATGGTAACGGAGGGAGGTGAGAATTTCAGCGTGGGTCAGAGGCAGCTGTTTTGCTTGGCTCGTGCCTTCTTGAGGAAGACTCGCATCCTGGTCATGGATGAGGCAACCGCCTCCATCGACTTGGAAACCGTGAGTTCCTCCACCATTTGATCCTCTCTGGGTTGACAATTCATTCAACTGTTGTTGCTGGACTTCTTCCAACAAATTTTATCCTGTCCTCTTATCGGGTGCCGGGTCTTATCAGGTCTTCAAGACCGTCTTTTTTTTACTTTGACATTTTTTTCCTCCTAGGATGCCATTCTTCAAGACGTTGTAGCCTGTGCCTTCAAGGAGAGGACTGTACTCACCATAGCTGTAAGTAACAAACCCATCTCTGCCATAACACCAGAAAAATGTCTTCGCACTAAAAAATAACCAGGCGTGAGAAATTGAAATTCACCTTTCTGTTGAAGTCTTCCAGTCCCACAGCCACAATATCCGTGGTAATATTTTTCAGTTTCAGGCTTTCAGTGTTACCTTCTAAAACTTATTTCCATCTTTTGCAGCATCGTGTGCAAACCATCCTGGACTCAGACCACATCTTGGTTCTGAATGAGGGCAGAATTGCAGAATATGACACGCCACAGAATCTACTAGCCCAGGAAGATAGTATCTTTGCTTCCCTGGTGAAAGCCGGAACTTAAGAAGGTGGTCTGCATTGTGAAGATGGTCCTCAAGACATTGGTCATCGCTTTAGCGCTAACGCTTTCTTAGTTGTAGAAATTAAGGACGGATAGCACATTTTGCACTTTGTATGCTGCAGAGGACTGTGTTCAGGGTGTCAAATTATTGAAATTATCTCTTTGGAGATGTGTGCTTTGGAGAAGACCAACTAATGTTTCAATTTCTTGCCGATGGTTTAAACTTATCCAACAATCAAAGAAGACATTATTGAGATGGTAATATGAAAGAAAAGTTTATATTACTCTTTTCATGTTAAAAAGCTATGTTATATTACGTTTTGTTCATGGTGTTCGTAAGCGCATGACTTGTGCAGAGGCTGTACGTATAAACTTGGTGCTTCTTCAACCAAAAGGGTTTTTTTTTTAATTATGTGCGCACCTCCAGTTAAGAATCAAGTTGCTATAGTTTCTTTGAACGTAACAAAAGTATCGATGAGTATTCCTAAATTTGTCTGAGCTTCTTGTGGGGCACACAGCTAACCCAAACCTTTTTCTTTATATTCATCGATGAATTGGACAAATTGATGTAAAAGGTCTGGTCAAGGACACAAGCTTCACCCTCACAGTCGTTTGAAACACTTTGATGTCTCATAAGAACACAATATGTAGCGAGGCTCTGGACTGCCAAAAGGTTTTTATTTAGGGGAAAAGCAGCTAACGAATATAGTCAATTTTAGTTTTGTTGGTAGCAGTAGTAATGTTTGTAAAACACAACTAGGGGTATATATGTATGTCTGTTTAAGAACAGAACGTAGGGCTTATCTGTATTATAATGTTTTTATGAGTTTATTTTTGAGGGGCGATGTGCAGTCTTTTTAATGATAATTTTTTGTACAAAATGCATTTAATGTCAAAGTTAGCTGCTTGCCAAAAAAAAAAGTTTAAACATTTATTCATAACCAGTTGATGACATCATCTTGACGTCATTTTTAATTTTGCATGCTAGCAACATTATCTACCTTCCCACCAAGTTTCAAGACGCCTGAACCTACCTTTATGTGTTTTGCAAAACCGTGTTATTGATGACATCATGGTGACATCACACATTTTTAGCTTATTTTCCAAATACGTATGACCTAATAACCCTATTACAAAAAGAAGGTTGAGTTTAGAATGTTGCGTTTGTGAGATAGGCCTACAGCAATGAACTTCAAAATGTCGAAAATCCAAAGAAAATCATATGATGACATCATCATGATGTCACCACAATTTTCATCTATAACACATCCCGGTATATGTTTATACAGAGTTTCAACCCAACCTTGTACTTCTGTAGATAAAGGCCATTGAAAAATGCACCCTTAAGATGATGTCACATGACACATGATGACACAACTTTGCTATAGACTAATGTCTATGCTACTTCTAAATGATGCATGACAAAGATGAATGCCCAAATTGGATGGGAGACAAATCGTGCACAGAGCCTATGGGATTTGGGATTGAACAAAAAGAACAAAGAAAAAAATCAGAACAAACACAAAGGCTTTTCAAAAAAGCCAATTATTTTTAATTTACGTTAGTTGACTTGCATGCTGGTGAATTATTAGGTCTTGAAATTAATCAATATTGTGTGCGTTTTTGTATATATTTTCATATTTTGGGTTGTTTTTGCTTTTGTTATTAAGCCAATGCCCTTCTAAAGAGCAGTCGAAATAACTGACATGATAAGGTGTCACATATAGATTACACTGTCTTTAAAGAATTGCGTACAACGCATTGAATGTTCGATTTTTTATATTGGAAATTGTGGTATAATATTATAAATCTCTCAAAAATTAATGTATGGAATACATTAGTGTCATATCCGGCGGACAAGCTGGGGCATAAAGAATGCTTATTATAAATCAGATACAAAAGGAACCTTTTTTTTTATAAATGTTGGATGTTTTTCTTACTGCATACTTTTGCCATGAGTGACTTTAAGTAACATATGAATGTGTATGTTTAATTCCATTTAATAACTGATTACACCCAAGGAAATTAAGAAAGTAAAACAATATTTAAAAACAAAATGTAACTGAAATAATAGTAACAAAAAAAAAAGACAAAAAATAAAACTTTATAAAAAAAGAATTTAAAGACATATAATTCATGTATAGCTTTGATGATTATCAGAATTGTGTTTTTTTTTTTCGATTTTTAATCTGAAAGCTTACTTGGTATAATATTTGTAATCCTACCAATTGTCCTTTTGCATAAAATTCTGCCATGAGAAAAACATAATGTGTATAAAAGCATCACAAAATGTGAAACCGTTACATGCTGATTTCTAAAAAAAACTTGAGCACCTATTGTGATGAAATTTCACAGGTTGACTATTTGATGATATAACTCCTGAAAAAAGACAGTGTACATAAGTGTACTTACTTATTAAACAATGCTCTACCATCCTTTTATGAAGAAATATAAAGATGGAAAAACTTAAACGCAGATATGAATACATTCAAATATTCAAATATTTCATGATGAAACACCAAAAGTGCGTTACTTCATGTATGACTACATGAATAATATGTTGCTGTGTTGCTAGCTAATTTGCTTTTAATAAGGGAATAACAATGTGTTTGGCCGGTTTAAAAAAGTCCGTTTAAGATGGGTTTGGGGATGGACGGTAATGATGACCCGATCCGAAAATTCGGTTAACTACCGCTGTTAAGCTTCATATTCCCCTTGCTGGTTTTGAACGAAGTCAGAAAATCGACCATCATAATTTAGCAAATTTTTGATAAAAACCTAGAGCCTGCAAATTTGCTGTGTTCGGTGAGATAACATGATAAACTTTTGACTCCACAAAAATTGTCAATTGCTTTTCCTTTTCTCTTTCAGCTTTTTGAAATAGGGTACAAAGTTTCACTTGATATCTGACACGACATGCTAACCAGTTCAGGTAGTGCACGATGTCTGTATGAACAGTAAACAAACAGTCTGTGTAATTCCAAAGTCTGTGTTGCTTTCATCATACAACTGGTCGACTGTTGTACTGCTATTTTACATGGTGCTGCAACTTGTGTGTGTGCAGATCATATATTTCGTCATCTGTTACATCATAGTCTTTCCCAATTTTGAATTTTTGGGGGACTATTTCTTATAAAAAGGCCATGAAGGAATTACATTTCATCAGAAACTTTCATTCTGTGATATGCAAGTCACCACTTCGCTGGGTATGTATGATTGAGAGTTTAAGACATTATCTGGAGTCAACTTTATCTGGAGTTTTATTCAATTTTGTTACAGAGTGTTATTAGTTTTGTATTCTGAAGACCTACAAAAATGAACATACAAAAAGTAAATGTAATTTTTTTTTTTATAAATGTGTTTTATCTGGGTATTTTTGTTGCTTTTTTTTGGGGGGGGGTGTTTTTCATCATAAAACAGTTGAATCCAAATATCTATTAAATAACTTGTTATCAAAGTGAACAACCACTTGATAGGATTCAAACCTGTTACCTCTGGAACACTGGACCAGTGCTCTACCCACTTAGCTGCTGTGCAGATATGTTGTCAGTCTCTCAGTTCAATAATTTTGTTCAAGGGCGCTAGTCAGAAGCCACAAACTCATTTATGCCATGTTGCCAGAGATCACACAAAGTCACAATGCAAACCACATTAGCGACATTGAAAACCTGTAAAATGGTTGTTAGATATTTAATTGATGGGACTATGGTTCTTATTAATTGTATATGACATATTTTTTCTCTCTGACATGGTAATTTCACTTGCCATATTTCAGCCGTGTTAGTCCAAGACCTGCATCCTTTGTAAGCAAGCAGCGCCAACATGGATACAACTAAAGCATCGCTGTTTGACTGGTACTGCGGTGCCAATGCCACAGAGAATCTTGCCAGCTTCACCTTTGACCTGAACCACACCCTGTACAATGCCTGCTTTGTGGACCTCGTCTACATCTTACCACACCTCATCTTCATCTTGCTGGGCATCCTGGTGCTCTTTGTTCTAAGATGCTGCACCAGCATCCGCAAGGAGCAACACCCTTACCTCGTCCAGTTCCCCGGCCACAACATCCGCTGGGTTCTCAACTTCGTCCTCCTTACTCTAACTGTATGCGAGCTTGGAGAGGGCATCCTAACAGACATTGACGTCTACCAAGACACGTCCACCATCCCCCGCCTCTACGTCCCTGCCCTCCTCTCCCTAACCGCAGCCCTCTTGACAATGATCTACTACAACCAGATGGAGTTGTGGAGCAGACCGCACATGTCCTGGCTCCTCCTGCTCTACTGGCTGACCGCACTCGGAGTGGAGATCATCCGGTTCCTCAATCTGAACCATGATGAAGATGTCAACAATTCAATCTTCCGATATGATCTTAATATTGCTGCCGTCGTCATGTACTTCCTCTATCTGATGCTGGAAGTTTGGGTTATCATATCAAAGGTGAGCAGCTAACAAGTTTCAAAGTGTTATTACTCTGCCGTGTGTGTGTCCCTTGGCAAGAGTCTTAGTCACAACATTCAGTTGTTTCTGCAAATAAAAAGGTACAAAAAAGTAATAGGCACTGTGAAGGCAGAGATGGTAATGGTGATTGTTAGCTGTTTGTGCAGAAGTGGAAGCATCAACATATACTGCTAAGGGAGCACAGATGGTCTAAGGAATGTTTTATGGTCATGATCAGTAGATGTAATAATGTAAAACTGCCTCAATTCTTGTTAACAACGCTAAATACCTGCTTGATACAAAGAATCAGGAAAATAGTCAGAGGACATCAGACTGGATTTTCAGGTCTAGCAAAAAACAAAAAAAACAAAAATCATGTCTCTCTTAATGTACTTCTCCTATATTGTGGCTTGTCTTTTGGTACAAGATCTGCAAGTGTTGCTGTGAGGAGGAGGAGTTTCCTGAAGACCTGAAGAAGGAGGACATGAACTATCTACAAGGCTACACCAGCCTGCTGTCCTCAGCATTCTACTGGTGGCTCAACTGGATCTTCAAGAAAGGTTTCAAGCAAGCCTTGGAGCTAACTGACCTGGGCAGTCTGTCTGAGGTCCACACCACGCAGTATCAGAGGGATGCCTTCACTAGGGCACTCAAGAAAGAACAGGTACACATTCTAGCTGCTTACCAGATTGATGTGAAGTATATAACATTTCTTGCATTTTTACCCCTCAGCCGAGAGGCTCGAGGGGTATTGTCATCGCCTAGGGCGTCCGTCCGTCCGGATGTGTGTGAGTGCGTCCGTCCGTCCGTCCGGGCAGCTTAGTTTCCGGATGATAACTTAAGTAAGAAATGTTGTTTGGGGTTGTAACTTCGGTAGGGGGTTGCCCTTGGGAGTAGGCAAGTTGGGATTGGTTTTGAGGTCAAAAGGTCAAAGGTCAAGGTCACCGTGGTGAGTTAAATGTAAATGGTTTCCGGATGATAACTTGAGTTAGAAATGAGATTTTGGTGTCTAACTTTGGAAGAGGGTTGCCCTTGGGAGAAGGCAAGTTGGGATTGGTTTTGGGGTCAAAAAGTCAAAGGTCAAGGTCAGCATGGTGAGATAAAGGTAAATGGTTTCCGGATGATAACTTGAGTTAGAAATGAGATTTAGGTGTCTAACTTTGATAGGGGGTTGCCCTTGGGAGTAGGCAAGTTGGGATTGGTTTTGGGGTCAAAAGGTCAAAGGTCAAGGTCACCGTGGTGAGTTAAATGTAAATGGTTTCAGGATGATAACTTGAGTTAGAAATGAGATTTTGGTGTCTAACTTTGGTAGAGGGTTGCCCTTGGGAGTAGGCAAGTTGGGATTGGTTTTGGGGTCAAAAGGTCAAAGGTCAAGGTCACCATTGTGAGTTAAAGGTAAATGGTTTCCGGATGATAACTTGAGTTAGAAATGCGATTTTGGTGTCTAACTTTGGAAGAGGGTTCCCCTTGGGAGAAGGCAAGTTGGGATTGGTTTTGGGGTCAAAAGGTCAAAGGTCAAGGTCAGCATGGTGAGATAAAGGTAAATGGTTTCCGGATGATAACTTGAGTTAGAAATGAGATTTTGGTGTCTAACTTTGGTAGGGGGTTGCCCTTGGGAGTAGGCAAGTTGGGATTGGTTTTGGGATCAAAAGGTCAAAGGTCAAGGTCACCGTGGTGAGTTAAATGTAAATGGTTTCCGGATGATAACTTGAGTTAGAAATGAGATTTTGGTGTCCAACTTTGGTAGAGGGTTGTCCTTGGGAGTAGGCAAGTTGGGATTGGTTTTGGGGTCAAAAGGTCAAAGGTCAAGGTCAGCATGGTGAGTTAAAGGTAAATGGTTTCCGGATGATAACTTGAGTTAGAAATGAGATTTTGGTGTCTGACTGAGGTAGGGGTTTTCCCTTGGGTACAGGCAAGTTGGGATTGGTTTTGGGGTCAAAAGGTCAAAGGTCAAGGTCACCGTGGTGAGTTCAATGTAAATGGTTCCGAATGCTAACTTGAGTTAGAAATGAAATGTTGGTGTCTAACTTCGGTAGGGGGTTTCCCATTGGTACAGGCATGTTGGGACTGGTTCTGGGGTCAAAGGCCAAAGGTCAAGGTCACCACCTTGAGTTAAAGGTTAATGGTGTCCGGATGATAACTTGACTCTGGCTGAGGGGTTTCAACAGCAACGCTGTTATTTTTGCTTATGGATTCTGCACAGAAGTTACAAAAGGGAGAGTTTGATCAAGAGACACTTTTATGCATTGCTGACAGCGCCAGAGGCTCAGAGAATAATGGTCCGTGAGAGTAAAATAAGAGTAAAATTCTTTTAGCATGGAGGAATTCTCAAGTTTGTGGAGGGGTGGAGCCCCACCTGTAGGTATGCCTGTTGATATTGCTGCCCGTTGATATTGCTGCCCGTTGATATTGCTGCCCGACAATTTTCACTTCAGAATTGTTACTCGAGCTAAATCATGGGGTAAACAAGGACCAATCTCATTCTTCTGATCACTTTTTCTTCCCCTATAATTTTTTTCCCAGGCCCGAGCCAAAGCCAACGAGACATCCCTCAGTCTGTATCGTGTCTACGCCCGAGCCTTTGGCTTCCGTATCATGATTGGTGGCTTCGTCAAGTTTGCCGGTGACGCAGCCACCTTCGTACCGCCCCTCGCTCTCGCAGCAGCCATCAGATACGTCACCACTCTCTACTATCAGCACGGGGAGGGTAGTCTCATCGATCAGGTGAAATCAAAAGAGTTGGGTAGAAAATGGTTTTTGGAATAACAAGTGAACAGTGGTCTATGTTTATCTTTAGTTTTCAGTAGTAAATACTAGTATCCTGCTTGAGGGAACAATGATGTACCATGGAATATTCTTAAACCATTATATTCTGAAATTTGATTTGTCTAGCTCATGTAATGTGACCTATTCTAGATGCGTCCACTTTGAGTGTTAGTATGAAGTTGATTTCATCTTATGTATAAGATCTTTAATTAAGACTGAATGAAGTCTCTGTATGAATTTCAGACCAAGTACGTCTCAGTGACAGATTTCTTGAGTAACGGCTTTGTGTTGATCATCATCATGTTCTGGGCCAACATCATCAAGCTGTTATCCCAGCAAGGCCACTATCACATTGTCATCACTGAGTCTGCTCACATCAAGGCATCGCTACAGGTAAAGTACAAAAATGCTAAGCGGGAAAGTGGAGTCAAAAGTAATAGCAGCAAAATCCTGGTTAGCAAATATATCTGTAAAAACTGTTGACTGCACAATGAATTCCGCTTGGCAGTGTTCACAAAGAATTTCAACTTTTCTAAAGATGCACTGCAGTATTACCAGGATGTAGTCTGCCAATGACAGTTCAGACATGTTCATCCTGAATTGCTTGTTGATTGCACCAGATTGATTGCTTTCCTATACAGGTGTCCATGCCTCACTTGTTCAGACTTGCAAACTTGTTTGGTAAATTGAATTTCTCGACCGGAGATACAGCAAAAATCAATGCATTGGTGACCCATGCTCACATAACATGCTGTCTTTTCCATAAACACAGGCGGCAATATACGACAAATCGCTACGTCTCTCCAGTTACACGATGACAGGGGGCGATATGACCATGGGCCAGATCACCAATCATATGTCGGTCGACACTTCCAATGTTATGAACTCGACGCAATGGGTCCACTATGTCTGGTCCGTACCATTTGTGGTATGTTCCTTAAGAATTGTTTTTCTTGCAGAAAGATAAAATATCTTTTGCTCTGTCACAATTAACAGAAAAAAGTCCCTAAGACTCATTTTGTGGAATCAGTCAAAATTGTTGTGATTTGAAAGGATGTAATTGTCAAATTTTTGTACAGAGATTTATAAATATTTCTCAATTTGGCAGTTTCCTGTATAATTCCTTAGTAATTCCTGAATGCCTGGGGAATATCATTGAAGAATGTTGCATATATCGTCAAACTTTTGTTTTATCTTTTTCGCTGTCAGATCATCGGCTACATGGTGATTCTATACTTTGAGCTTGGAGTGGCTGCCCTGATTGGCTGTATAGTCTTCTTCGTTACCGTACCGATCCAGGTCGTCATAGCGAGGAAGACTGCCAAATACCAGAAAGCAATTATGGTAGGTCTCTGAGCAGCTCTTGTGTTTGAACGTGTCCGTTGAAAACAATTTTTTGCCCTTCCCTTTTGACCTTGACAGACTTTGAGAAACTCACAATAAGTCCATATGTGAATTGCTAGTGTAAGGCTGTGTCCAAATTACGTGGCTACGGCTGGACGTACACGGGTCTATGGCAAGTGGCTGCAACGGCTTCCATAGGCGCGTGTGTAATATCCAGCCGCAGCCAATTAAGTCATTCAGATGTGGCCTTTGGCTGGCAGTAACGCAGGGCCTAGTGCCTTTTTAATGCACCTAATAATTGAAGACATGAATTTATGCTAGTCCCAAAATATGCAGGGGACCAGTCATTACCAATAAACATCCCATAGCATTTTGGCTGGTAACCTGGGGTTTTTTTTGCTATAAGCCAAAAAAGAAAAAGATTAAGTACTTAGCATCGCCATGGAATTGGGCCCACTAACGTCAAGTTTTGGTCATGTTTAAGGTCCAAAGTTGGGATGTCTTTTTACTTTGGTGATAAAGTAAAACTGGCAACCGGACTGAATTGGAGATGGTGTCCCAGGAATGAGAATTCTCTCTGAAAGTGACAAATTAAGATCCTCACCTCTAGGTGACTTGGTTGGGGGGGGGGGAGGTTGCAAAATTTGGGAAATTTTACCAGCCAAAGAAAGGAAAAAAACTTTTCATTTCTTATAGATGATTGAGTTATCAATATATATAGTTATGGGTGAATCTTGTGTTAAGGTTCAATTTCTTTTCTTGCTACCTCAGGAAAAATCTGACGAGCGTCTGAAGCGAACCAATGAGTTGCTGCAAGGAATTAAGCTGATCAAGCTGTATGGGTGGGAAGACATGTTCTATACCTCCATCAGCAAAGTACGAGCCTTGGAGATCTTGGCTATGATGAAGGCGATGGGCTGGAGGATTCTGCTCAGTAAGCTTGAGAAATATTCATGACTTATTACGCGAAGAAGTTTGAGCCATTTTACGAGTAAGAACTATTGTTAACGATATTCTGACTATCTTTACTCCAACTCACAAAGTTGACTGTAGTAAGAGTAGTCAAGCCGAATATGCTAGGGACCGTAGTCGGTCTACCGTAGTCGGTCCCATCACTGGTTACAATAGCCACGTGCATCATAATGCATAGCAGGGAGCCAGCAGCCTTATGCAGGCATTATGCTGACTAGACATGTTTGCATATTGATACGAATGGGATAAATGACGTCACAAATCAACTACAAGTATATTAAACGTAAGCTTTTCATACGATGGATTTTTTTTGCGTTGGGGTGATGGAAGTCAATATAAGATTTTTGCCATTCACTCGACCATCGAGCTTGTGATATCCTACCGGAGTGATTTTGTATCCAATTTTCACTCGGGAGGTAGCACACTAAGAATAACAGTGCGTCGATGATAGGGCAAAACCTAATATTAAACTGAGCTTGCTCCACGTGCACGGCTAGAAGGAATGATATTGTCCTTTCAAACATCATGTATCACTTTGTTACTTATTTAGGGACTTGACTTTGTGAATAATCCAGTTAGTGTCAACAAAACTACCTCGACAAACTCATACGCTGTTGTCTCATGTCTGTCTGTCTGTCATGGTGTCTGTCTGTCATGGTGTCTTTCTGTCTGATGTCTGTGTATCACATTTTTTGTAAAAGGCCTAAAGAGCATGCCCAAGCATAAAGTGCAGTGGTTAAATGGAGAGGCTTGGTGATTGTATGCACATCCTTAAATAGTATGCTCCGATTGCACTGTCCTCTGAAGTCATGGATTTGTTTGTTTTGTTTGGCAAATTTGTTTCTTTTAGACTTTGAATAGTTATTAGAACCTAAAAATTAATGTGGCCTGACGTTGCGAACTTAGCAAGTTCTTCTTCAGAGGCTAAAACAGAAATGACAGAGGCACATACATTAACAAGGGGGTGCACACAAACATGCAGGGATGAAAGAAGAAACACAAAAGGAGGATTAGGTGGGAAAGGTGTGGAAAGATGCAGGGGAGGGTGGATGAGAGAACAAAGAAACAAAGGGAGATGGCAAACCACATGGGGTCTGGTATGAACAGGGGAGGGACCAGAAAGGGGAAGGATCAAAGGTCACAGGGAGTGGGAACGGACAAAAGAGTGTGGGAGTGGAGGGGGATTATGCGGGGGGGGGGACAGTATGGAGGTGGAAAGGGATGAAAGATGGGGGAAGATGGGTAAACACAAACAATGAAGACCAGGTGGATTATCTGTAACAGAAGACAATGGAGGAAGAAAAAGATTAATCGTTTCCAAGTTGGATGTTGAGACCATGTGGTTGAATAGTTCGAAGACGATTCATCCACACTTTCTCTCTGCTGAGGCGAACTGAGTCCTTGCGATGGCCAAGAGATTCAATGCCCTGCAAAATCATATCAGAAATGGAGTGGTTAGGCAGGTTGAAGTGATGACCAACAGGGGTGTCTAGTTTCTTGGTGTTGACCGTTGACCGGTGGGCATAGAAACGCTTCTTGAGCGTATTCTTAGTCTCACCTACATACTGCACTCCACAGACCCTGCAAGAAATGAGATATATGACATTGGGGGTGTTACAAGTGATGTTACCAATGGTTCTGTGGGTAGTGACAGAAGAGTGGCCAGAAAAGGAGTCAGACTCCTGGATATGAATCTGGCAGACAACACATCTGGAACTGCACTTGAAAGTACCATGCTGGGTGGGAGGGGATGCATCTAAGGATGGGACTTCAGCTCGAACAATCAAGTCCCGTATATTTCGAGGACGCCTGTAAGCCAATGTGGGGCCGTTGGGGATGGCGCGGGCAAGGCGATCTGAAGTATGGAGGATATGATGATTGTCATTAGTGATTTTGCGAAGGGGAGGGAGATTGGGGTGAAACGTGGTGACCAAGGGAATCATGGGTTTGGCCATGGCATCAGGGGCCTTTCCCGTGAGAGCTAGATTTCTGGGGATAGCTTTAGCTCTGGCAATGGCACGATGAACTTGACGAGAGCTGTGACATTATTAGAACATTATCTCTATAAAAACACTCCAAAATGTGTCGCTATTAGGCAAAACGTAACATTCATGATGAAAAATATGGCAAAATACCCTTTAACTGTCGATCATACAAATGTGTACGATATGAATTTCGCATTATGCATTTTGAAACCTCAGTTACTCAAACATACATCTATTAAGGACACACTGATTATTTGTAAGACACACAGCTAGCGGGTGGCACGCAAAATGCGATATCCCGCTTGTTTATGTTAATGATAATGTTAATATTACATTTCATTTATAAAAAAAAAATATTATTAATTTTTTTTGTTATTATTTTGATTGGATATTTTTTATATCTTATTATCATACCTTGCATTGTTCTTTAAACAGTATTTTCATGTTCTTGTTTTGCCGATACAGTGACTGTCACTAATGCCAGCCCTCTGATGGTCACACTTGTGGTGAGTGTCTGGTATTTTTTTTAATGGACTTATATTATGGAGATTCCTTTCTTCAGAAATCCAGGTGAAACAATTTTCTGAAGCTGACAGCACACAAAATGTTCGCTTAACAAAAACGGGTCACCGGCCAAACTGTCATGCATTGTGTATTTCTTGTAACTGCGCGGTTGCCAGCTGAATCATTCTAAGCCTATTCACTGAACAAATTCCCCAAGCAACATTTTTGGTTTGATTTTGGTCTGGTTCCGACCCACTCGTTTCACTATTCTACATCCTTTGACAGTCCTATGGCCTGTACACCAAACTGTCGGGCAAGCCCTTGACGTCGGACGTTGCGTTTGCTGCCCTCGCTGTCTTCAACCAAATGGCGCTACCGCTCATCATCATGCCTAACGTCCTTGTCGTGCACATCAACGCCATGGTCAGCACCAAGCGCCTGAGGGCGTTCTTCGAGGCGCTGGAGATTGAGAAATTGGAATCGGATGAGGAGGGTACAGAGAGTGAAGTTGGCCGAGGACTCATCAATGAAGGGGTGAGAAAAAAAAGTCTTCAGAAACTGCTCCACTTTTACCCAATGCTTATAGTTGCTCTTTGTGACAAATTTCTATTGATTTGATGGTTTATTGTTTTTATATCTTAAAGTAATGTACAGTATCAGCTGATCTGAACTCGTCGGATTGAGAATGAAAATCAAACTCAATGTTAAGGAAATTTCATGGTAAAATTTGCAGAAATTACATATGCTCGACTTTTGCAGAATTGCAGCATGAATACTTGCCATTAATTATGTCACCAATTCAGATGTGTGTTTTCTTGTGTGATGCATGCCGGTACGATGTATCACAGGTACAACAAGTGTTTCAACCCCTAACAGTCCTGAATCCTCAAATCTTAATATGATTTTGCGCACCCCCTTGGGAGTCACATGTGTAACCCTCAGGTAAAGAATGATAAAATGCCTGACCTTTGTCTCTTGTACTGATTACCGTCATCAACAAGTAGTGTTGTAGTCGAGTACATCCAGCGGCATAGCTGTGGGGGGGGGGGGGGGCTCCTATGGAAAATTGGTGAAACCCCCAGTCGCCGCCGTTCCCCCCCCCCCCCCCCCCCCGGAAATTTGGCAGTCGGAGAATAGCACAGTCCTATCAGTTACCAAGATTAGCAGGATGAACATCAAGTGCCTATTCCCCCCAACAAACTGTATTTTTGCAGTTGGCTTTTCATTTTAATGTTCCATGGAAAGCGAATATTGCCACCTACTGTCTGACATTGTTTTCCGTTTTGAATAGCACCCCTTAGGAAAAAAAAATTTCCTCCCCCCCCCCACTTTTTAATTGTATGGAGGCTGGGTGTTGTGCGGGGAAAAATACCGGACTGCCTTTCAGCACGGATGAAATTGGGCACGCCCTCCGCTGTAACCTCCAGGCCCCCCTCTTGCCCCCTAGGATGAGAACCCTGGCTACGCCGCTGAGTACATCACAAGTAATCTCGCAACTTTCCTACATATTACAAGGGATGGACAGTAACAAAGGAATGTTCTTTTCCCAGTTCATTTGAATAGTTTGTGACTTAACTAAGGACTAGATGACTTGTGATAGACTTGTGAGGACTTGTGAGGACTCAAACACAACATTGTCTTCATCATGTGTCAATGTTGCAATGTTCTCTCATATGTTATTGTCTGGTGCAGGTTGCCATGCGTCAGCCGAAACGACAGAGAGCAGAGGACAGACAGCGATTGCTGACATCATCTGATGAAGAGGACAGGATGTATGACAATCCCAGCTTACCAGATAATATTGCCAGCTTACCAGATAATATTGCAATAAGGGTAAGAAGAACACGAACGAAAATATTTTTAACAAGAATATGACATATTTAAAAAAACCAAAAAAAACCCTGCTAATTATGCCAAAAAGATTGAGTCCAGCCTGTGGCTGCATTGGCAAGCTTCAGCTGTTTGAATAAGTCCTTAATAGCTGAAAAGAGAGGAACGTGATGGGCACTAAGTATCATTGCCACACGGCATACCCAGTGTAGGGTAAAATCTCACTCAAAAGACGTCATTGATTTTTGCACAAAACACAAAATTGGTGCAACATCGGTAGGATCCAGCTAGTGCAGTAACCTTGCATACTCTTTGTGGACCTGTGAATAAAGAGGTCCACAGCATGCAGGAAGCGTGAACGCTTTGTGGACTTGCACACGTCCACACTACGTTTCCCTCTCTCTGGAAAACAGGTTTAGAAGCATTTTTGGGTTAGGTTTATCCATCGCAAAATGAAGAGAACACTCAAGGACATCATGATAAAAAACATTGGATTGAATTGGTATTCACAGTGCGAGTAAATTAGCTTTTTTCTCCATTTTTTTCTTAACTACACATATACAAAATAATGTCCACAGGAAGGTAAAATTGCGCGCATATACAGCGTGACTCACTAGCTCTCATAAACACACCGTAGGTATACAGCATCTTCTGCTCTTCTTGCATAGAGTCTGTAGGCTCTGTGCACTAACAAGAAACGGCATCTTCTTACTACCTCAGAGAGCCCCTGGTTTGTGAGTGAATAGTGGGAAGTACGCATGACTTATTGTATTTTGAATGCACACCAAGCCATAGCGTCTTTGTGTTAATTAGCATCAGGTATTGTCAGAAATGCGTTCCAATGTATTCCCCAGTAGTCTCACCATCTGTCCCTTTCTTACTATTGTCAGTGTTACAATCCTTCCTTTCCTTTCTGTCCTTACAGATCAGAGGTGATTATACATGGGACCAGACTGCAAGTACGCCAACCCTCAAAAATATCGATTTGGATATCCCAGCTGGTAAGTGACTTTATACTTACAAACTCTCTAGGTTATATCGTATTTATTCAACTGTGAATGCGAAACAGATTTGATGTCATAAAAGAGTTGAATTGAGTTCAACTTTTGTGAATTCACAACATAAAACCTTGCCTGGAAATTTTCAATGCGTTCATTTTCACGTTGTTTTTTAACCCTCCTTAGCCACAGATCTTTGTGGAGTGGAGATATGAGTTGGCATGCTGATTTGCTGCTTGTATGCAGGGTCGTTTCCAACCATGTTGTCATCTTTTAGATTCTTTAAGGAAGTTTGAGGAGTACATGAATGATGACTCCACAGAGACATCATAAAGTATATAACTTGAACAGCTTGTCATCAACCCGTTAACATTTCACATAATACATGTACCATGATAGAACAAGCCCCCTGACACAAGAATATTTCTTGTTTTGTTTCTGGGTACAGGCAAGTTGACTATGGTAGTGGGTCAGGTAGGATCAGGAAAGTCTTCCTTACTGTCTGCTATCCTGGGAGAGATGACTACAGTCTCAGGAAGAGTCCAATGGAACAGGTAAATGGAACAGGTCTTAATGGACAAAAGGTGTGGACAGGTGTCCTTAATGGAATACAGGTGTGGACAGGTGTCCTTAATGGAATACAGGTGTGGACAGGTGTCCTTAATGGAATACAGGTGTGGACAGGTGTCCTTAATGGAATACAGGTGTGGACAGGTGTCCTTAATGGAATACAGGTGTGGACAGGTGTCCTTGATGGAATACAGGTGTGGACAGGTGTCCTTATACTGCAGTTGTGGACAGGTGTCCTTGATGGAATACAGGTGTGGACAGGTGTCCTTGATGGAATACAGGTGTGGACAGGTGTCCTTGATGGAATACAGGTGTGGACAGGTGTCCTTAATGGAATACAGGTGTGGACAGGTGTCCTTGATGGAATATAGGTGTGAACATGTGTCCTTAATGGAATACAGGTGTGGACAGGTGTCCTTAATGGAATACAGGTGTGGACAGGTGTCCTTAATGGAATACAGGTGTGGACTGGTGTCCTTAATGGAATATAGGTGTGGACAGGTGTCCTTAATGGAATACAGGTGTGGACAGGTGTCCTTGATGGAATACAGATGTTTGAAACTTAAAACAGGTGGCCTTCTTCTCATGCAATCTACTTGTACTTTTCAGAAAATAGGCGAAAAATGTATAGGTCTGTCTTCATTGTGTTAAATGTGTTAATGTTGTGTATGTCTATGTCCATAATGTTTCATATGTCCATTGACTCCTGCTGTCGGCCATGTGTTGTGTCCTTTGGGAAGCCACTTTACCCCTACTTGCCATTTTACCTAAAATGATTAGGATTTTTATATTATTTACATAACATTTATTTAGATAACATTGATTTAAAATAGCCTTCCCAACTCTATCAGTATGCACCATGAAATAGACAGTCGACCAATAAGTATTAAAGATTCAATTTTGTTTGAAGACAATCTCACATGATTGCACTTGAAAATACAAGCAAGCTGTGTTCAATTCCTGTTCTTTCAAAATTGTTTCTATCATATCTATTATTTCAGGCAGTATGATTCCGTCGCTTATGGAGCTCAGAAGGCCTGGCTGTTAAATGCTTCCCTCAAAGAGAACATTCTTTTTGGAAACAAACTTGAAGAAGACAGGTACTGAATTTCAATACCACATTTTAAGAGCTTCACGTCTTCATGTGTCATTTGTTTGTTTTAATTCTTCTGATAATGAAACCAAGGATTCTTCAAACATGCACAAGCACGTGTAGCTCAGAAGATTGAAAAACGTAGTTAAGTCAGTGAAGAAATGTTCAGTTTTAGAGGTGGGAGGAAACCTGAAGGATATTTCAGGAAAAGCCACAGAATCAGGTAGGGAGTGAAAAACCTAATCCACATGACGGCCTGGGCAGGGCGAGAACACAGATCAAAGAGATGGAAGGCGAGGAAAGTACCGCTGCGCCAACCTAGCTGACTCCCTTGTTGCTAACAGATGGTTGAATATACAGGATGCATTTCAGTTCTGGGCACCGTGGCGTCATGAGATGACAGTGCAAGCTCCTTTTCCTTCTTTCCTGTCCAGGTACAAGAAGGTCATCGCTGCTTGCTCCCTGCAGCCAGATATTGACATCCTCCCAGGAGGAGATGAAACAGAGATTGGTGAGAAGGGAATCAATCTGAGTGGAGGACAGAAGCAACGAGTCAGCGTGGGTCGCACCATGTACAGCCACAACAATGTCGTCATTCTGGTGAGTCTGCAATCCTTGTTAGGATCCAAATGGATACCCGTGTACCTGTTACCCAATGGAAAATAACAGGTAACGAGTTCCATCACAAGTCCATCATAAGTAAATCATCACAAACCAGTCACGAATGACAGTGGGTGAACAGTAACAAAAGAATGCCTTTGTCAAAGCTCATTTAATGAATAGCTTGTGGCTTGAATTGGAACTTTAGGCCTTTTGATGGACTTCAGGGACTTGTGATGGACTGAGCACATCCCTGCTGTCTTAGGGACAGTGTGCCTTCCTGAGAGAGACACCTGTTTTAATTCTAGGCTTATGTTTTGAGTGTAAGCTTGCGCCACCTAAGTAAAAGCTTTTAATATTGGTTTGTGTTTTTTTCAGGATGATCCCTTGTCCGCCTTGGACATGCACGTTGGCAGTCATCTCTTCAAGGAAGGCATTGAGGACTACTTGATGAGGAAGAGTAAATGCACAGTCGTCTTGGTTACTCATCAGTTGCAGTATGCTGACAAGGCTGATAAGGTCTGGATATATTGCCTCTTAAGGCCTCATCGTACTTCATGTTAATGCAAATGCCAAGCACTTCTTGACTGACTTGAATTTCTTCAATTTGTGAAAATTCACAGTGCGTATAGTTGCCATTATGTTCCGAATTTGCTTTGCATTCGCGTAATTTCACTGGGAACTGAATTGCATATCATGAAGCGGTTGAATTCCGCCTCGATTGAAATTTGTTCATTTTTTCTCAATATGTTGGGCCTTTAGGAGGGACAGAAATGGTCGTTGCTTGTCAGAAATTTTCGATTTTTCAATTTCGATTTTTTTTTTTACATTGAGGCCAAATCACATTTTTTTATACTCAGAAAAAAAGAATACATTTGAGGGTTTACCTTGATTAAGTTTAACGTCATTTCCCAAAAAAATTAAGACAAAAACTGTTTTTCTTCATTTTTGGGGTCTGGTTTTTCTGTGGTTTTGGGTTTAATTATATTGTAAGTGGATCTCCCCTTTCAGTTTGCATATAAATTTCATTAAGCAATATCCCTGCAAGGCTCTACCAATTGGTTTTTTTTTCCATTTACTTACAGATTGTGTACATGAAAGACGGTGTGATCCGTCACCAGGGAACGCTAGAAGACATTCGAGAGGAGAACCCAGAGCTTGTAGCCAACTGGTCAGCCACGGCCAACGAAGCCGAGGAATCAGAATCAGAAGGTGAAGACGTAAAAGAAGAGAGAGCCAAGCTGGTCCGTCAAGTCTCCACTATCATGGAGGAAGAGAAGAAGGCAGGGCTAGCCAGAGGTAAGGCCACGCCAACAGCTGGCAGTAACACACGGGTGTCTATGGCAGGGTTCCCACAGTCATGGAAAAACCTGGAAAATCATCATGGAAATTACGGAAAGGTCATGGAATCCTGCACTACAAAATGAGATAGAACTGCGCAGAGGCTCTAACCGCTTTCAGGTTCGGCCTGACTCTAGAACGCCAGTTAGTTCAGAGACAAAAACAAGCATTGTTTTGCTTAAGTGGAACTAAAACCTATTCCTGTACCGAGTCCTTACCAGCTTTAATCACAGTTTCCCGGATCTTTATTTTTGTTAGCGGATTCAACACAAGCTGGTCGTCTGGTTGAGAAGGAAGAACGAGCTGAAGGCTCTGTCTCCTGGCGAATCTATCTGGTCTACATCAAACACCTGGGCTTTGGGGTCTTCTTTCTTCAACTCCTACTGCTTCTGGGCAAGAACGGCCTGGGTGTGGGCACCAACTACTGGCTGGCGGGGTGGTCGGAACATGGGAATAATCTCAACACGTCCCTGAATGGATCAGAGGTAAATAGTAAAAATATATTCGCCCCATTGAGTGTTTAATAATAAAAGTAATATCCCAAGGCGAATAATGATAGACAAAAGGTAAATAATACCAAAATATTGACCCATAACGTGGTATAGTAAAAATAATATATCCCAAGGTGAATAACACCAAACAAAGGTATATAATAACGAAATATTGACCCATCGAGTAGTGTAGTAAAAAATATATTCCAAGGTGAATAATACCAATCAAAGGTAAAAAATACCGATATATGGACCCATCAAGTGGTATAGTAAAAATGTTATATCCCAAGGTGAATAATGCCAGACTGAAGTAAATAATACCGAAATAATAACCCACCGAGTAATATCCAAAGTGAGTAATAACGAACACAAGGTAGATAATAGCAAATTGTTGCCTGCATCGAGTATTATAGTTGAACTAGTTACCCAAAGTTATTTGGTGAGCATATTTTCTCCTGAGGCAAAGCCGAGGGAACGTTGAATGTTTCACAGATCACTGATGAGCGAGGCCGTTTTTTGCACTACAAATCCAAGCAGTCAGATTTTTAGTCAGTCAGTCAGTCAGTCCGTTAGTCGGGGAGTCAGTCAGTCAGTTGGGGGGGGGGGGGAGTCAGTCGGTCAGTCAGGTCAATCAGGTCAGCAGGTCAGTCATTCAAAAGAAGATAGGCTAGTCTTTCGGGTTCATCGAATATTGTCGGATTTTGATTGAAGCTCTTGAATCAAGTTAATTGTGCCATTTCAGGATGCTTTACTTGGCTACTACCTGGGAGGCTATGCAGGCCTGTCTGTAGGCAGTATCCTAGTTGAAGCTGGTTCCTTCACGGTGATATACATTGGATCTCTCTTTGCAGCAAAGAAGCTTCATAACAGCATGCTCAATACCGTCATGAGTGCACCGCTTAGGTAAGAAATGTGTCTTGGGCCCAGTTGAGATCCTAATTTTTTGATTAAAAAAAATCTTTAATGGTGGGTGTTGGTTCAGATTTGCATTCACTTTACTTCTTTGAGTTTTTCAATGAAGAAAGCAAAAAAGAAAAACAAACTAATTATTACAAAGAAAATAAACAATCCCTTTTTTTCCGTGATCTTCAAATCCACCAAGTAGTTTTTGAGATGGGAATGTAGTGGCCAGCCACGCAGCTTGATACTCGTTGAAAGTTAAGTACAAATGATGGGTTTTGGGTTTCACGCATAGCAAAGTTTTTTAGAGAATTCAGGAAGCCTTCTAGCAAACATTCTAGCGGCATTTCAGGTTGATCATTCTTTTCCATGTCGATATCTGCATACATTGTATTTTTGTCCGTTGCACAGGATTTTTTAAACTTTTTGTATGGATTAGGTTTGAAACATGTCGTTATAAATTTTTGAATTTATTTGTTTCCAATTTTATACGCTAGGTTCTTTGACACTACCCCAATTGGGCGCATTCTCAATCGGTTCTCCTCTGACATGTCGGTCATTGACTCGGTAATGTATCCCACAATACTCTGTGATTGTAGCACGTTTTTGACGTTCTTGTGTCCTTTTCTGATGTTTTTATTCCATTGTTTTCTGATGTCTTTGTTTTTATTTACTGATGTTCTCGTTTTTTTAATGTTTTCATTCAATTTTTTCTGATGTTTTGGTTTCATATTCTGATCTTTTGTTTCATTTCCCTAGCAACTTGGAGGGACTCTGAATGGTTTCTTGATGTTTTCGATGAGCTGCCTAGTGGCTGTGCTGGTGGACGCTATCGTGACCTGGTACTTCGTCGTCGCGTTGATCCCCATCGTGTGCTTTTACCTCCTATTGGTGAAGGTCTTCATTACAACATCCAGGTAAATTGGAATTTTTTAAATAAAATTTCAAAATAGTGTTTATGCCCTCGAGAAGACTTTACAGCAATTGCCTTTTTCTTTTAAAACATCAAGGTTATTTTTATTTTCTTAGTTTGTATATTTATTTTGTACTTTTGGGGTAGGTGTAGGGGTAGGCTGGTAAAAAATGTTCATGACATTTAAGTGTTTAAGCAACCTTCCCAGCAGGATGATAGAAACAAAGTCATGATATAGTATTTGTGTTCACAAACAGGATACTTTACTGCAATTGCCTCTTTTTCATTTGAAGGCCAGCTCCTTTTAAAAGCTAAAGCAAGTTTTTGGATTTAGCAGTATTATTCTTAGCAGTATGTGCAATTGTTACAATTTGTGTGCATGATCCGGGTACTCGAATGAAATCTAAACACAGTTTGTCCAAACCTTAAAGTGAAATCATTAGGTTAAGTTAATCATTTTAATTAGATTAAAGATTAGAGGTCGTTGAAGGTCATCATGTGTCATGTGTGTGTCATCTTTTTCATTTCTGCAGGGAGTTGCAGCGTCTTGACAGCATCAATAAGTCTCCAGTCTATGCACACTTCTCTGAATCTCTGGGAGGATTGTCAACCATCAGAGCCTACAGGTGAGGCATCGTTAGACAGTTTAGGAAATTATAAGCTCTTGTTTGCGTACGTGCTCGGGTTGGACTTTAATACCATCGCAGAGGAGTGTCATGGTCTAGCGGTTAAGAGCACCGGACTCGTGCTCTGGTGTTTCAGAGGCAAAAGTGGCGTGGGTTTCGAGCCCGGGCCCGGACACTTGTGCCCTTGAGCAAGGCACTTAACAATTATTGCTTCGTCCTTCGGATGGGACGTAAAGCCAGAGGTCCCGTTTGTTGTGTAATGCAATGCATGTAAAAGAACCCAGTAACACAAGAGAAGGGCTTTGCCCCGGTGTTTCTGGCCTCCTGGTTATTAATTTATAATTATATTTGTTGGTGCAGAATTAGTCATTTCAAACAAGGAACAGCAACTTTAAATGCTTAGACAGTGATTTCTGTTTTAATAGACAGTTTACATGCTTTAAATCAATGTGTCACATTTCTGTGAAATGTAATGTCTGGAAAGAATTCTACTGAATAAATGATTTACTGAATATTATTGTCTCTTAAATAATAACAGGCAGCAGCATCGCTTCCAGAAACTCATCATCCAAAAGATTGAGTTGAGTAACCTGACTTTCCTGTACATAAACACAGGGAATAGGTGGTTGGGGACCAGACTGGTGAGTTTTTGAGATTTAAACAACGGCATCAATATCTGGGCAATTGACAACCTCACGCCTAATTACATTCAAATCACCTTTTACTCAAGATGTTAAAATTTCGAATTCAATCAATTAACAATAGCAATGGATATTCCAGATTTTGTTTCTTCAAATTCCTGCAAAACAATAAATTGAATACTTCAATTTTCAATTCCTGTAGGTAATGTCAATCTGTTCAACCTCGATGATCCTGTTGTAAAATTATCCTTTATCTTATCAAGGTATATCATTCACAAAAGTGAAACAGAATGAAATAGTGAACACTCTAACCCATTCTGAAATTATGTCGGCCCTATTATGACAGGAACTCATTGGAGCAGCCATCGTGTTATTTGCCGGTCTTGCAACCATGATCTCGGCCCTCTCAGGTGGCCTCCAGCCTAGCTTGGTGGGACTAGCAATAACATACGCTCTCAGTGTAAGTCAGAAATTGATCACAAGTTGGTCAAAAATCTATCGTAGGTCTTATACCAACTAAATCACAAGTCAATTTGCTAGTCCAGTCACAAGTAACAGGTGATTAAGAATAACAAATGAAATCCAACCTTGCTGAGACTAGCATTAACCTGTTCTCCCGTTGTAAGTCAGTCCAATAGTTGTTTCCATCACAAGTGACTCTCAAGTCAGTCCTTAAGTCCCATCATAAGACAATCACAAGGCCGTCACAAGTAAATCACAACTTCATTACAAGTCTTGTCACAGTAAATCACAAGTCATTTCAAGTTTTCAGTCGCAAGTAAATCTCAAATCGATTCAGAAGTCGCAATGTCGTCACATGTCCATTACACGTTCCTTAATGCTCCTGTCACAGGTAAATCACAAGTCCATTCGCAAGTCCATCACAATCCCTCACAAATAAATCACTAGTCAATTTGTAGTTCTAGTCACAAGGACATCACAAGACATTTCACAAGCCAGTCACAAGTAACAGGGGATTACCAAGAACAAGGGAATGCTTTTGGGCGCTTGTTAATTTTGCGGTCATTTGACATGCAGATTTCGAGCCAGTTGAACTGGGTGATCCGTATGTCAGCTAGCCTGGAGATGCAGATGAATGCCATGGAACGAGTGGAGTACTACAAGTCTGTCAAGAAAGAGGAGTATGACGGTGAGTGGACAAATGATGATGACAAATGGCAGTGACATTACAGTGACAAGTGACGGTGACAAATAACTGTCGAGACATGACAGTTATTGAGTGACGTGTGACAATGATATCTCACAATTATTGAGTGATGTAAATTTCCTTCAGTGGAAGCATATTTGTGAAAAGTGACACATTCAGCCTGACAAGTGACAAGAAATGACAAATGACATTTGTTGAGACACTTATTGATCCTTAATGAAGTGGACCAGCTCCCACGTCAATTAAGGGGGAAGGAAGGAGGAACGGTCCTCTATTTAAAGCGGACGAGTGTTCTAACAAAATATACAATTATGATGATGATGTGACGACTGTGATTTCCTAACTACAATACATTTATTCTTACATTACAACACTTCAAGCATTCAAGCCTGTGTGCACAATAAAATGTCAAAATAAATACAAAGTGTGTGTCAAAGTTCAACACATGTCTGTATAGGTATATACGCAACACATCAAAGTACAAACCTAAAATGCAACGAAACATATCTCAACTCTCATCCCGAAAATACACAATTTCCCTCACAAAATGAAGATAAAACAGAGCAATACTCACAGGGAATCTTCTATGAAATTAACCTACCACAGTGATATATCTCAGGAGCATGGCAGGAGCCATGCTCCCTACAAAAACGAGAGAATTTTCCAGACAAAATATATGTTGGTCTTCTCTGTTCGAAGCCCACAGGAGAAAACTTGTTACAAGTTGCCTTTGCGCGGGAAGCACAAAGGTCACACTATGCAAATCACCTTGCCAAACTTTGGACGAACAACAACTGAGGGCGCACTTGGTCTCCCTACATTAAAAAAGCATAATGATAAGTTAAAAGTGACATCATGATAGTGACAAAGAATGAGAAATGACAAATGACAGATATTGAGTGAGATACAAGTCTGGCAATGGCAGCAAAAGGGTTTGTGCAAAGTGACACAATGACCGTGACAAGGGACAAGAAATGACAAGTGACATTTATTGAACCCATAAAGGTCTGTGAATGGCAGTTTGAATGTCAAAATAATAGTTTGCCCTATTCAAGTAATGAAGTAATAGATAAAAGTCCACAGTGCTTTTGAAAAACCCAATACCAACAAAACATTTACACACCCTGATGCTAAAAAAATGCTTTCAAAAGGGTAGTATAGGCAGCGTCAGAAGCTCTTATCTTAGAGCTCCTGTGTGGTCTTTGACAATTACAGCTACATGAGCACATACTGGCAAAAGACATAGCTGTAGCTTTAAACAGCTGTCACTGACATTTGTAGCTTAATAAACACCTGTTACCTCATTTTGTGTTTTGGTACAGGTGTAATTGAGCCACACCATGATTGGCCAGATCAGGGTGAGATTGTCTACAAGGGTGTCTCAGCCCGATATGCTTCAGATCTTGATCCTGTGCTCCATGGTATTGATATCCACTTCAAGGCAGGAGAAAAGGTACCCTGACGTGATAGTTGAGTTTGATAACCCTAAAAATCTTCCAATGGAACTTTAAAGTAAATAGTAAAGTCTGTCATGAGCCAATGTGGCCCATCAGGTCATAGCATGAAACAACTGATAATATTTATATTCATCCTGGACGGAATGCTAGTCGCAGGCTAGTCCCACGCTAATGCCAGTACCCACTCCTGGGTGGATAGAGGCAAGTGGGTATGAAGTGGCTTGCCCAAGGACACAACATATGGTCAGCAGCTGGATTTGAACCCCTGACCCTCTGATCATGAGTCACAAACCCTAAACAATAGGCCACACTCCTCAAAAACTTGTAAGAAACATCATAAAAATGTTGATTACATTTTTACTGCAATGGAACATACTTTTCCAAAACCTTTTGAAGGATGTTGGATGGTAAATAATCACTCAATTCTATCCTTTTTTATATTGGAAACTTTTCAATAAAAGTACAAACTTTTCAATACATGTTTTGTTTTGTGCCTGAGCATATACAAGCAGAGAGCTGAAATTTGGATTTTCTCTGTTGATAGATCGGGATTTGTGGTCGGACTGGAAGCGGTAAATCATCGCTGACCCTGACCCTCTTTAGGATCATCCAGACATTTAAAGGTCAGTCCAACAGTCCTATTAATTAATGAAAATTGCATCACTGGTGTCATGGCATTACATTTATGCAAATGTTACACTGTCCATTAATGCAGGGTTCTACGATTCAGAGATACTGCTACGCTACGCATGAATGCAGGGATCTCGCACAAACAAATTCGGAAATTCTTGCCAAAGTGTTTGTAATGTTAATTGCATTCTCCATGCTTTTCAACAAATTCTATTTTTTTTCTCTTGACCACTTTTCAAGTTGTAAGTTTTGTTTCAAGCAAAGAATTCCTTTTTCGTAGGTGAACAAATCTTGTATTGCTAGAAAAAAATAGCAGTTTAGAAAGGAATCTATTTTCAAGCGGAAACTTGAAAATAGCATCGGGAATGTATCTTTAAACTTTAAAACATTGCTCGTGAACAGTTCTTTAAATTAAAGGATTCATTTCTGACCTTGACAGGGCAAATCTTGATAGACGGGGTGAATATTGCCCATCTGCCGTTGGTTGAAGTCAGACGTCGTCTGGCCATCATTCCACAGGACCCTGTACTCTTCACTGGAACCATCAGGTAATAAAGTTACCCTAAAAACTGAAGTTTGGTTCATGCTGTTTGTTTTGTAAAAGGGCACTGGGTCAGGAAAAGGTTAACATTGTGTATCAGGGAGCATTGGTTCTGAACACACCAATTTTAAATGTTTATTAATATTCAGCCTCCTACAGTTTACAATCCATATTTCACTGTTTGCATAATTCAGAAGACTTTATTCAGAAGAAATAATTTCAACTCAAAATGCTTTCCTCCTCTAAAGAGTAAAAACTGCTGACTTCCTGTCAAATAGAACAAAATAAAAACAATGTGTTTGAATGAATGTCAAGTTTTCCCGTAATGCACTGCAGATAAAGCAAAAACAAATTACTTGTTGTTAGACGATTTGTATTTTTAAATTTAAAATTGTATTCTTGTTTCCAAGGTTTAACCTTGATGCTCAGGGCGAGCATGAAGATGATGCATTATGGGAAGCCCTGGAGATTGCACAACTGAAAGATGTGGTGTCTGAGCTCGACCTCAAACTGGGTAAGATTGACTTGATTTTAATTTCACTCCTTGAATTCCCCATTATTTTTTTCTGAGCTTTTTTTACTGGACATATCTGAATGCTGATTCCCTCAGCTGGGTCTCTACCCTCACAGGTACCCATTTATACTCCTGGGTGAAGAAAGGCAATTGTAATAAAGTGTCTTGCCCAAGAACACAAGAACTAAGCTCACCATCATCCTAATCTCTCCTGAATTCCTTTCTTCCCAGATTGAAAGATGGTCCTTGACTAAACTTGCTCCATTGTGACTCTAGCCCATCCGTGGTATTCAATGCAAACAACACTTATGGGTTGTTTCCTTTTTTCCTTAGATGCCATGGTAACGGAGGGAGGTGAGAATTTCAGCGTGGGTCAGAGGCAGCTGTTTTGCTTGGCTCGTGCCTTCTTGAGGAAGACTCGCATCCTGGTCATGGATGAGGCAACCGCCTCCATCGACTTGGAAACTGTGAGTGCCTGCACCATTTCATCCTCTCTGGGTTGACCATTAATTCAACTGTTGTTGCTGGACTTCTTCCAACAAATTTTATCCTGTCCTCTTATCGGGTGCCGGTTCTTATCGGGTCTTCAAGACCGTCTTTTTTTTAATTTGACATTTTTTTCCTCCTAGGATGCCATTCTTCAAGACGTTGTAGCCTGTGCCTTCAAGGAGAGGACTGTACTCACCATAGCTGTAAGTAACAAACCCATCTCTGCCATAACACCCATAGCTGCCAACTGTTACTAATTTTTCGTAATTATTACGAATTGTTTGTTAAATTACGAAAATACGATTTGCCACTAAAACATTACGAATTTCCCATTTTCTACCTAATGAAAAAAAAATACTTGTAAAGTATCGTTTTTGACCGAAAACTTCTGGCGAAATGTCGCGATAATGGATGGACTGGTGACAAGTCTAATAAGAATGCAGTCAAGCACCTGATAGACATCGATGCAGTGTGCGCAGTGGAGTACTTGAGGACCAGACTAAAACTATTTTTCAATGGTGTGTCATTTGTGTGCATCTCGTGGATGTGTGGTTGTGTATACTGTATGTGAATACTTTTCAGTGACGATCGTGAGCACATTTGGTCGCTTTTTGCTGGGTTGAGACCATATCAGTGCGACAATTTAATCAAGGAATTTAATAAGAGTATGGTTGGAATAATTGGTATTACAGTTTGAGTTTGTCACAACGTCCAGAAAAGATAAATCAGCATGCGTTTGCAAGGTATGTTGGCGGGATATTTCTATTGCATACGGTCATGACGGTGGCCCTAAATCATTGTGTAAAAACATTGATACGAACTCGAAACTCCACATCGATAGCATGCATCTCCCAAAAAATATGCGCATATTTTATTATTGTTATTATTTATTTGACTCCAACAAAGAAATACAGACATTAAAAAAAATTAATTAAAAAAAAAAAAAAAAAAAAAAAAAATTTTTTTTTTTTTTAAATTATCTTTTAGCCTACATTACATTATTATTCACAAGAAGAAGGGTATGCACATGTATGTGTACATGTAAACCATGTACCTGTACTCGATGTTGGTAAAGCTTTTGATAAAACGAGCAGTTGAAAATGACGTGCAGGTTGATTACTAATTGGGATTTTGAAATGTTGGCAGCTATGCCAGAAAAATGTCTTCGCACTAAAAAATAACCAGGCGTGAGAAATTGAAATTCACCTTTCTGTTGAAGCCTTCCAGTCCCACAGCCACAATATCCGTGGTAATATTTTTCAGTTTCAGGCTTTCAGTGTTACCTTCAAAAACTTATTTCCATCTTTTGCAGCATCGTGTGCAAACCATCCTGGACTCAGACCACATCTTGGTTCTGCATGAGGGCAGAATTGCAGAATATGACACGCCACAGAATCTACTAGCCCAGGAAGACAGTATCTTTGCTTCCCTGGTGAAGGCCGGAACTTAAGAAGGTGGTCTGCATCGTGAAGATGGTCCTCAAGACATTGGTCATCGCTTTAGCGCTAATGCTTTCTTAGTTGTAGAAAATAAGGACGGATAGCACATTTTGTGCTTTGCATGCTGCAGAGGACTGTGTTCAGGGTATCAAATTCTGAAAATAATCAATTTGGAGATGTGTGCTTTAATTTGGAGAAGACCAAATAATGTTTCAATTTCTTGCCGATGGTTTAGACTTATCCAACAATCAAAGAAGACATTATTGAGATGGTAATATGAAAGAAAAGTTTATATTACTCTTTTCATGTTAAAAAGCTATGTTATATTATGTTTTTTTCATGGTGTTCGTAAGCGCATTACTTGTGCACAGGCTGTACGTATAAACTTGGTGCTTCTGCAACCAAAAGGTTTTTTTTTTAATTATGTGCGCAACTCCAATTAAGAATCAAGTTGCTATAGTTTCTTTGAACGTAACAAAAGTATCGATGAGTTTTCCTAAATTTGTCTGAGCTTCTTGTGGGGCACACAGCTAACCCAAACCTTTTTTTTTATATTCATCGATGAATTGGACAAATTGATGTAAAAGGTCTGCTCAAGGACACAAGCTTCACGCTTCACAGTCGTTTGAAACACTTTGATGTCTCATAAGAACACAATGTGTAGCGAGGCTCTGGACTGCCAAAAGGTTTTTATTTAGGGGAAAAGCAGCTAATGAATATAAAAATCAATTTTAGTTTTGTTGGTAGCAGTAGTGATGTTTCTAAAACACAACTAGAGGTATATGTCTGTTTAAGAACAGAACGTAGGGCTTTACTGCATTATGAATTTTTTATGAGTTTATGTTTTTTGGGGCGATGTGCAGGCTTTTAAATGATAATTGCATTAAATGCATTTAATGTCAAAGTTAGCTGCTAGCAACAAAAATATAAAAGTATAAACATTTATTAATAATCAGTTGATGACATCGTCATTTTGAAATTTGCATACTTGCAACATTACCTACCTTCCTACCAAGTTTCATGACGCCCGAACCTACCTTTATGTGTTTTTAAAAACCGTGTTATTGATGTCATCATGATGACATACATTTTTACATTGTCCAAATACATATGACCTAATAAGTCTAGTACAAAAAGAATGTCAAGTGTAGCATGTTGCGTTTGTGAGATACGGCTATGAACAAAATGTCAAAAATCCATACAAAATCATATGATGACGTCATCATGACGTCACCACAATATTCATCTATAAACATCCCGGTATGTGTTCATACAGAGTTTCAACCCAACCTTGTACTTCTGTGGATAAAGGCCATTGAAAAATGCACCTTTAAGATGATGTCACATGACACATGATGACACAACTTTGCTATAGGGACTAATGTCTATGCTACTTCTAAATGATGCATGACAAAGATGAATGCCCAAATTGGATGGGAGACAAATCGTGCACAGAGCCTATGGGATTTGGGATTGAACAAAAAGAACAAAGAAAAAAATCAGAACAAACACAAAGGCTTTTCTGCAACTTTGCAAAAAAGCCAATTATTTTTAATTTACGTTAGTTGACTTGCATGCTGGTGAATTTGTAGGTCTTGAAATTAATCAATATTGTGTGCGTTTTTGTATATATTTTTATATTTTGGGTTTCTTTTTGCTTTTGTTAAGCAATGCCCTTCTAAAGAGCAGTCGAAATAACTGACATGATTAGGTGTCACATATAGACTACACTGTCTTTAAACAATTGTGTACAATGCATTGAATGTTCGATTTTTGATATTGGAAATTGTGGTATAATATAAAATTCCCAAAAATTAATGTATGGAATACATTGGCATCATATCCAGCGGACAAGCTGGGGCATAAAGAATACTTATTATAAATCAGATACAAAAGGAACCTTTTTTATAATTTATAAATGTGGGATTTTTTTTTATTGCATACTTTTGCCATGAGTGACTTTAAGTAGTATATGAATGTGTATGTTTAATTAAATTTAATATCTGTTTATACCCAAGGAAATTGAGAAAGTATAACAATATTTAAAAACAAAATGTAACTGAAATAATAGTAAAAAAAAAAAGAAGACAAAAAAATAAAACTTTACAGAAAGAATTTAAAGACATAATTCACGTATAGCTTTGATGATTATCAGAACTGTGTTTTTTTTTCTTTCTTTTTTCGATTTTTAATCTGAAAGCTTACTTGGTATAATATTTGTAATCCTACCAATTGTCCTTTTGCATAAAATTCTGCCATGAGAAAAACATAATGTGTATAAAAGCATCACAAAATGTGTAACCGTTACATGCTGATTTCTAAAAAAAACTTGAGCACCTATTGTGATGAAATTTCACAGGTTGACTTTTTGATGATATAACTCCTGAAAAAAGACAGTTTACATAAGTGTACTTACTTATTAAACAATGCTCTACCATCCTTTTATGAAGAAATATAATGATGGAAAAAAACTTGAACGCAGATATGAATACATTCAAATATTCAAATATTTCATGATGAAACACCAAAAGTGCATTACTTCATGTATGACTACATGAATAATATTGTGGCGGGAATATCTGTGACCCGATCCGTAGTCCCTTTACCCAGACAACCTAGCTTAGGATCAATACCCCAGCAGCCGGGAATGCAGGCCCGTTTGGATGGAAATATACCGCCCTATACGCGTAGCAGCACTCACGGCACGCCCCTCAACCTCAAAGATGGACAAGGACAGACAATTAAGTACACAACAGTCAATGACCTCAATTACTGATTGATTTATTTACATAGAATCATGTCATATGATGGACCTCTCGTTAAATTATAATGTTAGCCTCTAATAAGTGATTGTCTCTGAGCCTCTCAATTATCTCTGTAGGGGTAGCCTCGCATTAGCCGCTACGGTAAGGCAGTGCTGGGCAGCACGGCAATGCCTGGCTGGGGATAGCCTCTGAATCCCGGGTAAGAACCGTACGCCTCCAGCGTTCCTGTGCGCCTCCACTCTCCCGCCCTCGACCGTTTCCAGTCGCAATCCTTCCTCGAGGCGGCGGGTAGATGAGCGCGCCCTTCCGGCTCCGTCACGTTACAATCGGCAGATCGCTGTATGTCGCTCCGCCTCCAGTAGCCTCCGCGGACTCCGTGCCTCCTTATGCCAGCCCGACTTCACCGCACCACCCAGCACACGCCCGTCAGCGCGCGCGAGCTAATTTGCCTACCGTCTCTTCCCCGCAGATGATCTCGGCGTACGCTCGGTCTACTGAGCTGTGTCTACCTGAGCTGAGTCTACATGTACGTCTCGCAACTGCCACGGGGCCTTATATAGGGCCCACAGCCGCGAGCGCGCCCTCTCTAGACTACGCTGCTATAGTAATTTGCGCCACAAAGCCTCCTTCTTAGCATGAACGTCCTCGTTCATAACAGCTAAAGACCTGATATTCAAAAGCAAATTACTCAAAACTTTCTTATCAAAACTTTTAATCTAAACAACGAAAAGGTCCATAACGTCAACACGTCGGCGCCTCTTTATACATGCGCCTCATAAAGGAAACATAGTTAACTTTATAAAACTCTGAGAAAACTTGATAGAAAACTTTATAAACTTTTAAGAAACTTTAAGAAAACTTATATAAAGGTTTTAGAAAACTCTGTATAAACTTAAGAAATGATGGCTTAGAGAAACGAGCCTAACTCATAGGAACCGGTACGAAACATGTTGCCTCTGTGATCTCTCGGATGCGCTGTTACTTCTTGCGGAAATCTTGGTCGAACTGGACATCGTACACCCTCTCCAACCGCTGCTCACGAACTTTCACACCCTCCTTGTACTCGAGGGTGGTCGACACCTCCTTCACTCGGGTAACCCTGCCCCTCAGTACCTCTTCCAGGGATGTCACGTGGATTGGGCGCAGATCCTCTCGGATGTGCGCAGCTGCTCCGTTGTTGGGTGCTGCCTCAGCCGCCTCATGTTGTTGCAACTCTTCCGCCTCCTCTTCACTGCTATCCACGTGGTCCTGCTGGGCCATAAGGAGCATCCCCCGAGGCTTACCACCAAGTGGCTTACGCACTGGGGCTGGCACATCTTCTTCTAGCAAGGACAAAGAGGCCGGTGACAAAGACAGTCCTCCACTCGCCTCCGGTCCTGAAATCGAGAGATCCAGGGGGCCTCCTTGAGTGATTGTACTCTGCTTAGCGGACTTCCGCTTGGCTGGCGGTTCCTCCTGTGCCTCTGGCTCACTTTGAGTCGGTCGCTTCTCTCCCCGTGGTTGTTCGTCGACGTCGTCTTCCTGATGGAGTATACGTAGCGCCTCTGCCCATGTCTCAGCATATCCAAGATCCTTCACCTTCCGTCCCTCTGTTCTCTTCACCACCATCCGTCTGGTCTCCTTTACCGCTTTTTCTCCCTCTTCCGAACGTCGCCTCTGCGCCCGCTCTCTCTCAGTCTCCAAGGGGAGAAGATCCACCTCATGGATGTGGGCCTCGTGATTCTGACGGTAGTGTCTTCGCAAGTTATCCTTCCTCGTACTCTTGAAGGGACACCGTACGCACCAAGCGAAGATCTGAGACGGGCCATGACCCACCTGTCTATGTCGGGCCAGGCTGGTCCTGTGCTGAAACGTCAGTGAGCACTCTTCACATGTGAACTTTTTCTTTTCCTGCTCCTTCATTGTGTTCAGTCGTCGTCACCTAATAAGTAAACAATAAAAACAAATTGATAAGTTACTGAATTTGTACAGAATTATATACTGCCTAACGGAAACGGAGAGGTAGCCTCCTTTCCCTCCGTGGGTTTCTTCGATTCTGGCTTACAGGATCATTCTCCGTGTCCTGCATAGTCTCTGTAATTCCGTCTCCGTCAATGCTCCCTATGTCAAGTACTGGGTCAGTTTGTTTGTCCTCCTCTACACCCCTGTCAGGAATCGTTTCCTCGTCACTCCTCTGGTGATGCCTCCCTGCAGGCGATCGCTCCTGATCCACACGAGGCGGAGTTTCAGTGACTTGTCTCGGAGGTTCTGTTTGCCAAGACTCCATAGGAGTGCCTTTGTAAGGCTTCAGTCTATCGAAATGAACCACGAGCATCTTTCCTCTGGGTTTGTCTTGTACCCTGTAGTTAACGTCCGACAGCTTCCTTATGATGAGGTACGGCCCTTCCCATCTTGAAACTAACTTTTGGGAGGCCCCTTTCTTCCTTGCATGGTTATACAACCAGACGAAGTCACCTTCCTCATAACCTGCACCCTCAACTCGTCTGTCGTACGACAACTTTTGGCGTCTAGCACAAGTCTTGGTTTGTTCTCTGGCTCGCTCGTGGGCCTTTTGCATCCTCCTGCGCAACTCCTCCCCATAGTCTGTCTTTGGTTCCATAGCCTCGTCATCAGGAGGAGGCGCTTCTATAGTAAGGTCCACCGGCAGCATAACCTCCCTGCCCAACATGAGCATGTTCGGAGTCTCGCCTGTTGATTCTTGTGGTACCGATCTGTATGCGAATGTAGCAAAGGGGAGTTGCTGGTCCCAGTCTCTCTGGTTACGATGGGGGTCTAGCATCATCGCCACCGTATCGATAAGTGTCTTGTTATACCGCTCCACTAATCCATCTGACTTGGGGTTGTAGGCAACCGTGCGAGTTTTCTGAATGCCTAGTATCTGACACATCTCGGCGAAGACGTCCGCCTCGAAGTTGCGACCCTGATCTGAGTGCAATTCCTTTGGTACGCCATATCGGCAAACGAAGTTCTCTACAAATGCCTTGGCTACCGTCTCGGCTGTACTGTCGGGGAGGGCGTAAGCCTCCATCCACTTGGTGAAGTAGTCGGCTATAACAAGCACCCATTTGTTGCCTCTCTCCGTCGCCGGCATTGGGCCGACGAGATCCAACGCCACCCTTTCCATCGGAGCGCCGATTCGGTACTGTCTGAGTGGTGCACGCCTTTTCCGAGCAGGCGACTTTCGTTTAGCACAGATATTGCATTTCCTGCACCAGGCTCTCACGTCCGCCGCCATTCCAGACCAGTAATATCTCAACCTCAACTTTGCTAGTGTGCGACTGATTCCAAAGTGTCCTCCGGTCTTCCCTCCATGCAACTCATCCATCTTCGCCTCTCGAAGGCCGACTGGGAGGACTATCTTCCACTTTACCTCCCTACCGTCGTTCGATTCCCATCGCCGACATAACACTGACTGTCTCATCTCTAGCTGGTCCCATTGCGACCAATAAACTTTGACCGCAGTTGCACGGGAGGACATGCTCTTCCAATCTGGCCTCTGACCTGACTCCTCTTTCCCAAGTACTACCCAGGCAATGGAGGGGTCTTCCAGCTGACCCTCCCGCAATTCGTCTGTGGTAACGTTTGGCTCGGCCACAACCACTCTCACATCCGCCGGCGTAGGTGCCTCTACAGTATCGTCGTCCACTCGTCCACACTGCTTGCACGGTCGACGTGACAGGCCGTCTGCATTTCCATGTTTCTTCCCAGGGCGATGCACTATTTCATAGTTGTACTGCCCAAGCACCTCAAGCCATCGAGCGATTTGCCCCTCTGGGTTCTTAAAAGTGACTAACCACTTTAATGCCGCATGGTCTGTTCGTACAGTTATCTCTTGTCCGTATAGGTACTGCTTGAAGTGTTTAAGATAGACAATAATTGCAAGGAGCTCTCTGCGCGTCACGCAATAATTCCTCTCGGGCTTGGAGAGTGTACGGCTCGCGTAGGCAATAACGCGCTCCTCTC